TAGCAATGACATGATATTTCCAACACAAGGACTAGAAAGCAGGGCAGTTCTTTTCCCGTGAAAGGGGAAAAGAAACCAGGTGGTCCATAATGAATCAGATACGTCCACACAGTGTAGGAGACGCCAAACAATCGACTTTTACTTTTTTTGGGTCTTTGCATTCTTCCTGTACCACTTTCTTTTTCAAACAGGTACGTTGGTTTTCCTTGGAGTGTGAAGTGGGGAATGTAGCGTAAAGACTAGAGAGAGAATCGACCTCGTAGGCTAGCATTTGGGTCAAGTAAGCAAAACTGCTCTTCCACCCGAGGGCCTGTTTGGTTACTCCTACCCGAGGGACGACATTGACATTCTTTTGCATTGTAGAGAGACAATAGGTGGAGTTAATAGTAAAGGGACGATATGGAGCCAATCCATAATAGAAGGTTTAGATTGTAATATTTTTTATAATAAAGGGATAATAGTTGGCATTAATCCAAAGTAAAGAGAGGTCTTTGAACGATTTTAAAGTACAGAGAGGACAATAAACGAAAAAAGAAAGTAGAGGAATTATAGTTGGCTTTAACCCTTATTTTATTGAGAGCAAACTGTCACGGGACGAGACTCTAGCTAGTCACCGTGCGGCACTTAGCTTGGATTTCACCCCTTAACCAAACCAAGTCAGCCTTCCCTTGGTGCTGGGCGTAGTCCACCTCTGGGACAAAGAGGCTTGTGAAGCTTAAAATGCAGAAGTTGGGAGAAAATGAGAGTTTATTAGACGCAAGGAAAATTTACAAGAGTTTGGGTAATGCTTGGCTAAGTGCCTCTGCCTTCTAAGGCTCCTCCTATTTATAGAGGAAGCCAGCCACCCCAGACAGAGGTTCTAGAGCATTCCCAAAGAGTTCTCATATTGTACACTTCCTGGAACCCTCCCAAATCCTCCCACCTGTCCTTATTCTAGAATTCTCCTCACCCTAGACTTATCTACAAGCAGCCCAGGTCGGACTACTGTTCACGTCCTTATCCGGACTACTGTTCACGGCCTTATCCCTTCCCACAAGCTGCTTCTGGAGACTTTCCCGCGATTCTAGTTCGCGTCCGGGCGTCACTACCATTTCCGCTTGCGGCCGTGCCATCTAGACGCTCAGCGCGAGCGCGCCAGGCCGTCGAGCCC